TGGTTATGAAACTCGCTTGCAATGAATAATTCAACCAGCTTTACTCCCTCAGGGCAAGGTCCTCATAATGCTGTATTTACTTGATGTTTGTTTTGTGATGTAAACACCCCACCACTGTGCAAACACTAACACATCAAAATGCAGCTTTATCACAACAGGACATCATATTGTGCATCAACCCAGATTCTCTTCCAGGAAACTTAAAGGCCAGGCATAATAACAGGTAACTGCAAGCATGGTCTCTGCAAACTCTAGCCTCAGTTTCTTATTTGAATTATTCATTTTTGCAGGCATAAATCTATGGGTGTGGACATGTACATCAGAAGCCATTTCTAAAGGGGAAGGTTTCAAAAAGGCAGCAGCTGTCAGGTTTAAATTGTTGTGTGTGAAGAAGCTAAGAATGATACAGCAAAGCCACAATTTTAGTACCACACCCAAGAGTGTTTTAGGGTGTGGGAAAATGTACACTTTCAGCTGTTTCAAAAGGGCAGCGGCTGTTCCATTTTAATTGTTATGTGAATGAGCACAGTTCATGCCAACAACTTGAATCCTGGATGAAGCAGAGTTGAAGATGGAGCATTTCGCTACATGTGAATCACTCTCAGCTCATTCACGCATAACAGTTAGAATGTACCAGCTGCTGCCCTTTGGAAATGTTCTCCTTTCGAAGCAGCTCCGTGTGTCTATACCTTGGATTGGTGCACCAAAACATGCTCTTCTGTTCGCATCCAACAGCAAAGTTCAATCAAATTTCCATGTGCCCAAAGGGGACATAGGTTTCATATTGCTTAGCACTGTAGTTCTTAACATTCAGGTGCTTACCACCTAGGGGGACTGTCAGCACCCGGCAGAAGTGTCTTGGTTCCCTGTACAATGCATGGGTAGGGTGACCATATGGGACAATGTGAAACCTGGACCCCTGCCAGCTGCCACTGCTGCTGCAGGCAGAGGCAGGGTGGGGGCACCATTACTACTACTATTCAGGCAGCTAAGGAGTCAATGTCTCATCAATGGCCGCTGTTTTCTTCAAAGGTGTTAATTCTCCCCTTTTTAATGGTCATTTCACTAATCAAGCAACTTTATTAGGACAATTTTGCTGTCTGCTAGGGCTTCCTATTTCACAGCTCATGCTACTGTGCCTCCCTGCCCCACACCCAAGATGCTTATTTTAATTTTCACCAGCTGGCTGGGACTGGCCTCTAAAATACAAGACTATTCCAACTGATCTGGGACGTATGGTCACCCTGTGCATAGGGCAAGTTAGGTGCCACAAATGCCAACAACCTGGGTAGGAAGCTGCCAGGATAGAATTGCCTGTTGGCTGAGGACAGAGAGATGTGTCTCCAAGCTCTACGCTTTGCAAGTCTTGGTCACCAGTGCCGGATTATGACATGCTGAGGCCCTAAACTATGTCCAGTTTAAGAGGCCCCATACAATAAAAATAACCCACAAAATCCACAAAAATGGATTTTCATGAAATTTTAAGATGAATCATTGTTATTTATGTACAAATTTATGAACTCATTATGAATAATAACTGTGGAGCCATATATATGTATATTTTTGTCATATTAGAATGAAAATTTGGGGGGGGGTTCTTATTTAGAGGCCCCAAACTGTAGCTTAAGTAGCTTATGCCTAGATCCAGCACTGTTGGTCACATTACTGAGATTTGCCTATCTTCATTCAGGATTCTTTGTTCTGAACTCTTCTGGAGTGAGGTGTCCTCTCCTTCAAATGACAGGAGGAGAAAGAGATGCTTTTCCTTGTCTGCCAAAGAGCTTAGTGGTTATAGAGCTCACCCAAGAGGTAGAGGGGTTGGGTTCATATCCATCCTCTCACTGAGTGACTTGATTACACATATCCTACCTCTCAGGACAGTGCTGTAATCACTGGTTGCCTAGGGCCCTGGGGCTCAGTCCTGTTAGTGTATGTTAGGTGTGCTAGGAGCAAGCCTGCTGAAGCAGGCCTCTCAGAGGGCTTAGGGGCTTCTTGGCATAGTTTCTGGATCCTGGTTGGGCGTAGGCAGGAGAATAGGCACCCAGTACGTAGGGGCCCGAGGGCCCTGGCCCCTCGGGAAGAGGGTAGGGTGACCACCCATCCCTAATTGGGTGGGACAGTCCTGAAATGGGAACATCAAGTCCCCGTCCTGGGCTGCATGCCTCTGGGACAGCATTTGTCCCAGATTCCCAGTATCGTGCATGGATCCAGGTTTTCTGTTCACCACAGAAAAATGTAGGAAATGAAGCATTTCCCCTTGTAGGCTGGCAGAGTCCCAGCCTGCAAGAGACTACGGGGAGCGGGACGCAGAGGGTGCCATGTGCATGTGCACACATGCATGTGGCCAGGAATACAGCTTAAGGCAGTGGTGGAGAGCAGCTCCCCCAGCTTGCTGCAGGTAAGTCTAAGGGCGGGGCAAATTGAGGCCCCCACGGTGAGGGGTAAAGGCTGGGCCTGGGGCACTGCCCAGCCAGGGCAGTGCGTGGGACCCAGGTGGCTCGTCCAGGGGGCAGAGGCAGCTCCCTGCTACTACACACACTCCCAGGGAGGGGGAATGGAGGGTAGGTGCCCCCCAAATTTGTGTGTGGGGAGGCTTAGGACTCCCCACCTTGCTGCCCCTCCGGGAGCTCTGCACTGGCTGGCTGCATCACCATGGCAAGGCACCCCCTGCCTGACTGGCAGCAGTGGGAGCAGTGGCATGGAGTTGTGCCCCCTGCTACTAAAGGGCACCCAGGGGGCGCCTCACCATGGTGGCTCGCCCAGCGTGGGGCTCTCGGGGAGA